CTAGGATTATAGGTAGACATCATGACATCCAGTTTTAATGTGGTGCCAAGGACAGAACCCATGGCTTTTCTGCATGCTAGGCAAATACTCTATCAGCTGAGCTATACTTCCTGAAACCCTTGCCTTGGCCTTCCGAGGGTTATCACAGAGTTATCCCTAGGGAGAGGTCAGGGAGATCTCAGCAAACCTTTTATATAAAATGCTGAGTAAGTATGGCTTAGAGGGTGCTGATGGCACTTGCTCCCCTCAAACATAGTTCTTCCTCCAGTTGATATCTGTGAGGGAAACCACCCTAGTGCCCAGGGCCTTAGTCTCTTACCTGTCCCGGGTGGGTAGTTCTAGGTTCTTCTTTGCAGTCTTCCAGGTGGGGGTTCCTTGACTGGCATTTCCTTCTTTCTACCCGGTCTCATCATTTGCAGGGTTGCTACCCGACTCTGCTCCTTTCATATTGGAGCTTCACCCTTAGCTTACGGACGAGCTTAGCTATTCCCACAGGAAGCGTGCATGGCCTGACATAGGCATAGACGGGGTCTCTTGTAGAGAGCATGAAACATGTTTGCTCTCTACCTGAAGCAGCTATCACTGCCCCGGTGTCAGTCTTAGGGCAGTCTCAGATGCTTTTTACACAAGGCTGAGAGTCCTAGCCCTAGATGGCTGACCAACTCCCTCTGCACTCTGAGCCTCACCTCATCGAACTTCTTCCACATAGCATGCACTCCAGGTTTCTGTGTGTGCTCTTCTCCCTGCTCAGCACATTCTCACCACCGTCTTCGACCCTTTACCTCCTTCTCATCCTTGGAGACTTTGCTAAAATGTCCTTTTGGCACAGGGACCTATAGATCCCTTTTGGGATCTATACTCATGAAAGTGCCTTGCTACCCCTCCCCAGGGCACCACCTTCCCAGGGCACTGTGCTGTTGAGATCAAAACATGCATCATGATGGTAGATGTTTTCTATTGTGTAGTAGGAACTAAATGGCTGGTATCAGGCCATGCCCATGGGGTAATAGGGCTCTTGTGCCTCGCCATGCAAGATTTTGGGATCTCTCCTCTCTGGCCCTGTACAGATATCACTGATGTCACAGTGCAGCTGATTGGGCATCAGTGTACAGTTACCACTGATGTCGCTGTTGGACTGGAGAAATGCTCATTAACTACTGGGACTAGAAATAGCCAGGAGGTGAAAACACTCATTTTCACTCCAGGTGTTGATGAAAACCTTTGTTTCCTGCAGACTACAGATCCCATGCCTCCTCTATGTCCTGAAGCCTCTGGGATAGAGGATACTTCCCCTATTTATCCACAAGGCAAGAAGCCCGTCAGAGAAAGAGTGACCCCCAAGCAATGGCTGTCTGTATGAAGGAGGTGTTGCTAAGAGAAGCTCTGATTAAAGATAATAAGAAAGAGGAGAAAGAACACTTCGGGATTTGGTGTCGTGTCCGTGGGTCATCATAGGTGCTTCTTATAGACTGACCAGGAGTGACAGGAACTTTGTGAGGGAATACTGGTTCCTACACCAGATAGGGCCTCTCCGATGAAAGAAGAGAAGATATGGTCCATAAGGAACTTTTGCCCTAGCTGTGGCTGTGTTTAAGATGGCTAGAGGAGGGTCTACTGAGAGCCTGCTGCTCCCTCCAGGTCTGCCTGTCATCTTATCTGGTGACCTCCTGCAGGTGTCTGTCCACACACGAGCCTGACTCCTACAGATAAGGCTCTATACCCGGTGTCCTTACGGCGTGGTAAACTTCTGAAGGCAGAGGGGTGATGAGGTTGAACAACACTGTTGGTTCATTATATGTTCATAATAGCAAGCCTCCATTCCTGTTTGCTGACTTGTCTCTTAATTCCTTGCTCGTTTTGCTTCACTTGGATGTGTGTGAGCAGTACTTAGTTAGCTCATAAATTAATCAGGACAGTCCCACATGCCACAGCTTTATAGCCAGACCCTGTGGACACTGAGGCATGTGTTCTAGGCAGGAGGTGACTTTGAAGATGATGACCTCCCTACAAATCATGAGAAGAAATCCACCCAGTATTTGGACTCACAGATTAGTGGCCCAGACTCCATGCAGTTAGGTTCTGGCATATGGGGCTGGCATTGTGCTGTTTTTTTTTCCCAGGAGTGTGTGGCTCACCCAGAGCTAGCACATCTGTTACCACATCTGTCCAGACAGCCCTTGGCCAACCAGGGGCTGAGCTGCTGTCTGAGTCCTGTGGGTTGAATGGGATGAGACAGCACAGGTGGTCCATGCCAACTGCAGTCAAGCAGCGGCAGCCCTGCATACTCCCTCTTCTTTGCTGAGTCTCCAGGGGCTGGTGAGTTGTCCTATCTCACCCTGCCAGGGACAGAGCCACCGAAAGACACCCCACCCTTGTCCAGGTCCTCCACATGCTCGTGATGAATGCCCAAGTGCATGCCACATGCTAGGCTGTCACAGACACATTTTCATTTGATGTGGGTATCCTGAAGTCAGTGTGCATGTACACATATGCTTTCTGTCAGCCCCATCATGACACCACCATTGCTCATGCTCTACTTTGGCCTGACTTGTAAAGCTCACAGAGGTTTCTCTCTCTCTCTCTCTCTCTCTCTCTCTCTCTCTCTCTCTCTCTCTCTCTCTCTCTCTCTCTCTCTCTCTGTTAAAGACTGCTTTATCAAATGGAAAAGAAATTAGCATTGAGATCCTTCCACTTCCTCAAAGGACTTCTCTGGAGGATATACTCAGTCTTCCCATGATAGAGCCTTGGTTTTGCTTTAAAGGGACAGTACAAGGCATGCCTGTTCTGAGGCATGTGAACTCAAAGGACTGTGCTTTTTGGCTTCCTTCTGCTGCTATCAGCCCTGACATCTTTGTCTGGAAAGCTGGCTGTCTGGGACAGCCTCTGGGCTCTAAAGCAGGCTCCTGTGCTAAGTTAGAGACCCTAGGGATGAATTCATGGCAGGGCATCAGCCAGGCAGGAGGAAGAAACACACTATCCCACTCCCAATTCATGCCTGAAGGGCACTATGGGGTCCACACAGGGTGTCTTCTCTGGTGGCTAGAAAGCATCCAGAATGATAAGAAAAGGCTACAGTTCTTCCCTTTCTACCCTTCATCTGCCCTTCCCATCCTTCCCCTCCCTGCCCATCTCCCTGCTCCATCCCAGAAGAACACAGGGACAGGGATGGAGTGTTGTGTCCCCAGCGATTCCTGGCACAGTGACTTCCTGCTAAGAAGCTGATGATAGTTGGGCCTCTGCCCAATGAGGGCCATTTTCCTCCCTGTGGTAAAGGCAGAGCTTAGCTCACTGGCACGCCAAGAGACCAGCCCTAAATACCCTGTGACCAGCTCTCCCCCACTCCAAAGGGGGGGGGGGGGAGAGAGAGAGAGAGAGAGAGAGAGAGAGAGAGAGAGAGAGAGAGCGAGCCTGTGTGTCTGTCTATGTGTCCCTAAGCACTCTAGCACACTAGCCTCACGCAGCCCAGGGGGGTTGCTGTCAGGAGTGACCTGACCTCCTCTGGCCTATCCACATGGAATTTGGCTGGAGGTTTTTGTAGTCACAGTCATTGTGTTACTTGTCCAAAGCTCACAGCTGAGAGCTTTGTTCAGCAAAGCCAGGCATGAGGCAGACAGCCATATTTCCCTGCACCCTGGAGCAGCATGTGACTGGGAACAGGAGCATTTTATGTTGGCATTAACGCCATGTTTCTAGTCTTCATTGGATTACAAGCAGGCCTCTGCCCATGAGTGGCCCTTTTATTTAAGTTGTTGTTGTTTTCAGAGTCTCACTGTGTAGCCCAGGCTGATGTGGAACTCACTGTATAGCCCTGCTAGCAACAGATTCTCAGTAGTGCTAGGATTATGAGCATAATCCATTATACCCAGTACTTTTTTTAAATTAATTTATTTTACTTTATGTGTATGAATATTTAGCCTGCATATATATGTGCACCACATGCATGCCTCTTGGATCTCCTGAAACTGGGTTTACAGGTGGCATGAGCCACCATGTGGGTGCTGGGATTTGAACCCAGGTCCTCTACAAAAGCAACAAGTGTTCCTACCCATGAAACCATCTCTTCAGCCCAATACTTACTTTAAAAGTATTTTTTATAAGCAAAGTTAGAACTTATTAAGAAAGGGGTTATAGATTTCAGCATAGGCTTGAAGGGAGAAGAAAGAAAGATACTTATGAAAAGGACAGCTGTGTACTCAAGAGTGTAGGCATGGGCTTCTCAAGAGAGAGACACCAAGTGATTCCTTGAAGCAGTTTTTGCAGTTGAGGGCTAGCTTTATACCATGGGCAAGCAGTATCCAAGCAAAGGAGGATTGGACTTGCTGGGCTAGCCCCCCAATGTCAAAAAACTTCGGGCTGCAGCTTGCTGGTTAGCTTGATTTACTATAGGTTTTGCTGTTTCTCCCACTCCCAAAGACCTTGCCTTCATTCTATGCTAGTGCATAAGAAGTGACCCAAAATATCAGGATTGAAAAAAGTACCTGCATATTGCCTTGCAGTTTCCCAATGTGTCTCAGCTGGGGTCCTGTGGTCAACCGGGCCTTGATCAGGAGATCTGGGAAGATTCATCCTCCAGGCTTGCTTAGTGTCAGGTCCCTGTCTATTGTTGGCTGCCAGCCAGGGTGTGCTGTCAGCTTCCAGAGGTCACCTGTATTACTACCACATGGCCTGTTTCATCTGGAATGCCAGTGGTACATGTGGGGTCCTCAGGTCTCTAAGCCGGATGACCCTTTTGTGTTGCTGTTTGGGCATCTCCAATCAGAGGTTCCCCTCACTGAAGCTGGTATGCCTGACTCCTCCACGTTTGAAAGTTCACTGAGTGGACGCGCATGTCACCTGCCCAGTCCTGTTCACAGCAGCAGGCATTAGCTCAATAACCACAAACAGGAATCTCGGGGCGACACTTACACTTTGCCCAGAGGAATCAAACCCAGTTGTTGTGCGGTTCCTTCCTTCCCAGAGAAATCTGTTATCAATGTAGTCTCTGCTCTTGTCTCCATCAGTAAGCGGTAAGGACCACGAGCCTGAACTGGAGGCAGAAGCTGGGCAGGGTGCTGATGAAGCCAGCCAGGAGATAGCCTCTGCTCACAGGGGAGCAGAGAGCCGGGAAGAGCCGGTGCTGGAGCTGGAGCCTGAAGAAAGAGCCTCACTGAGTGAGAAAGAGAGGCAGAACGAGGAGGTCAATGAGAGGGACAACTGCTCCGCCTCCAGCATCTCGTCCTCCAGCAGCACCTTGGAGAGGGAAGAGAAGGAAAGCAAGCTGCCTGAGGACAGGTCGACAGGTAAATGAAACCCCTTCTCCGTGTGCCGAGGCCCTGCTGTACCACAGCCTGCCATAGGCTACCCTCCAAGGTGACCTGTGGGAACAGCTCACTCCTTCAGCTGTGTCACCTGTCTCACAGTGACCGCTAGCCAGCAGCTCCCCACTAGAGTTAGGCTCTGTGTCCTCCTCCCAGGCAGTGGGATGGCTCGCTTCCAAAGATGCTGAAGAGGGTCCAGCTGTGAGAACTGTGCCGAGGAATGAGCCGTGGGAAAGAAAACACTAGTTTCCTTGGATTTGTTTCAATGCCAATGATACCAAAGGTGGCCCTTTCCAGCTCCCGATTGGTTTAGAGACAGGCCATGTCATCTATTCCCTTAGAAGACTTGTTGAGGGAAGAATATAAAACCACAAGCAGAATAGACACAGCAAAGAAATAGAATGAGTACTTGTTTTTACAGCATGGTTAACAGTGCATGGAGGTGAATTTGACATCCTGGACCAGCACATACAGGCTTTAGGTATAGTGTTACACTTTGTACTTAGGCCCACTCTTTAATGTAACCTATGTGTTTTTCCTTATGTAACTCCGTCCTTTCAGTGTTGCCCCTGGAATCCACTCATTTCACTAATGACTAAGAACTTTACAGTTAGGGACCAAGTAGAATACTAGCTTGTATATCTGGCCCCCAAGGACATCACTGGGGCTTTAAAGACTTGACTCAGAGCATACCACTGGGGACAGGATCTGGTTTGGTTTTCTCATCCATGACTTGTAAGCCATCAAGGTGGTAAAATACAACATTTCTTATTAGTAGAGGCATGGACTATGCTCTAACCTTCATTAAACCACATATCAGAGCACACACTCAAGTCCCAAGGCTCCCCTTACCATTCTGTGCCATGAGCCAGACACTGCTTTGTCTTGTTAGTTATAATATTGAGAATACAGTCTCTGAAGCCCAGAAGAGTCAGTGAATGGATGAATGAATGAAACTATTCTCTTTCCCAACAGATCCATCAATGGCTTAGTCTAAAATAGTTACTGTTTATGGTTTTCCCAGTTAGAACATGCTACTGAATTTGATTTTGCATATGATTTATCACTATGATATAACAAGGACTCAGACTATTAGTTTGTCTTAGAAATTAATACACTAAAAATCTTGTGTCTACTTGAATATGTATGTGCTAAGAAGTACTATTTAGTTTCTTCAAAATAATATGATAGTTATTTCTAAATTCTAGATGTACTACTCAAATTTAACAGAATTCTTGGTCACTTTGATACTGATTTTTGTGCATTATGAGTAGCGTTATGAGTTACTCATCATATTTGGGCTCAGCAGCCTAAAACACATCAACAAGTTGGATAAGGAAAACTAAAACAGGGAACAGAACTTTCTTGGATCTGAGTGTGCAACATTCTTCCAAAAAAGGACAACTCTGCAAAAATGGAGTCCCTGGGCTCGCAGGGAGCTACTATTAATTCTGCATGAAGAGCAAGTGGGATCCAAGGATATAGATGTGGAAACTGGAGCTTCTGGTGACTCGTCTGCTTCACTTCAGGGTTGTGAAGAGGGTTAGTTCATCTGTGGAAATTTACTGGTTCCTAAAATTCCACACTGTTCACAGCCTCTTTAGCAGCCGAGTCAAGACAACTCTGTCATAACAGTCTTTGCTGTTCCTCATGAAGTCACAGAGACAATTAAAATTAGAGACAATTTAAAATGCTCCGAATCCTGTTTTTATCATTGTGTCTGTTACTAAGAAGTGAATTTGTCATCACACAAAGTAAAGCTTGGAAGAGATCCAACTCATTTCAGGCACCTTTTTCTTGTTTTGTGTGCTCAGCTCTGAACACAGTATTGATCATACTTTGCTATATGACACTTGATCGGCTGGATGAGAGCTGGAGTTATCTGTCCTGCTCGCTGTGAACCCTTATTTCCTAGTGTGTGCGGAGAACACAGTCTTCCCAGAGGTTGCTGAGAACAAGCTTGAGGGTTGAAACAAAAGTCGCCATGCCATTTGACAGTGTTCTCTGTACAGGAATACTCCAAGTGCTTCAAAAACATAGAAGGTGAATGGAGTAAGGTTTCTGTACTTCACTTATAGTGTTAAATCAGTACTGGTAGACTGGGATAAATTGGGGGTGTTTATTGTAATATGTGGAGCAACCACTAAGAAAAAATGTGTAAAGTCATTACTTTAAAACACTATTTTAAACTCAGGGTGAATTAAAAAAAAATGTTCAAGCAACCCACTGGAGACCAAGGGAAGAGAAACAGAAGGAATAAATTTAAAAAGCAAATGAAAGAAAACATTTAAGCCCTAACATTTCAATTAGTTTACATTAAAGGACAGATTAGCAGTGGATTTTTAGAAACACACCAATATATGCTACCTATACAAAACTTTTTTATTGCAAATTTTTTTTTCATACAATATGTTCTGATCATGGTTTTCCCTCCCCCAACTCCCTCCAGATATCTTCACCTCCTTGATCAACGAACTTCATGCTCTTTCTCTCTTTAAAAAACAAATAGGCAAACAAACAAGCAAAACCCTCACCAACTCTCTCTCTCTCTCTCTCTCTCTCTCTCTCTCTCTCTCTCTCTCTCTCTCTCACACACACACACACACACACACACACACACACACAAAAAAAAAAAAAAAAAACCAAAAAGCAGCCAGGCGGTGGTGGCGCACGCCTTTAATCCCAGCACTCGGGAGGCAGAGCCAGGCGGATCTCTGTGAGTTCGAGGCCAGCCTGGGCTACCAAGTGAGTTCCAGGACAGGCGCAAAGCTACACAGAGAAACCCTGTCTCGAAAAACAAAAAATAAATTAATAAATAAATAAAAACCAAAAAGCAAAAAACTGACAAGAAACACACACAACCCCACAAAAATATAAAACCAGATCCTGGTGTGGTGGCTCATGCCTTTAAGCCTAGTACTTGGGAGGCAGAGGTAGGTATATCTCTGTGAGTTGGAGGCCAGTCTGGTCTACAGAGTGAGTTCCAGGACAGCCAGGGACTGCTATACAGAGAAACCCTGTCTTGAATAAAGAAAAGAAAAGAAAATACAAAATCAGAAACCATAATATATAAGCAAAAGACGAACAAGACAAACAATACCCAAACTAAACAATATGAGACAAAATGTCTACAAAAATATTTAGTAACTCCTTTCAAGCATACTGACAGAATAAATGAAAAGTTAAGAAGCTATATCATACAAACAATAAAAAGTGGAAGTGGCTTATATTAATATCAAATAAAGTAGACTACAGTGCAAAGGAAGTTACCAAGGACAAGGATGCTCAACAGTGTACACAAAACTTAAATGAGTAAAGAAACAGGCAAGAAGACCAACCTTTAAAAAATAACCACGCTGTTGTTGTAATAAGAAAAGCCAGCATTTCCCAAACAATGGAGAAAGAATGTGACTATCTCTTGGGAAAGACCCCTTATCTGCTATCAAAGTAGTCTCCCTGTTTACAAGGAGAGCTGTGCTGGTGAAAGCTGGGCTTGAGCAAGAGTGAGGCATGGAGAAAGTGGTTCTGGCTATGAGGGTTTATCAGCAGGATGTCTTGATGCACTGCATGGGGAGGTGCCTGTGATTGGAACTGGTAGACGGGGTGGGGGGTTGGGGGGTGGGGAGTGGAGCTGCTATTGCAAAGACAGCAAACCATTCCAGAACTAGCTTGGGAAGGGTGGGGCTGTAAGACCCATTTATGAATGATCTTTAAAGCTCTGAGACTAAATAGTGACTGAAAGAGTGAGTGAGATATGAAGTTTGAGGACAGTTAAAGGTCAAAGTTGAGGAAGAAGCCAGGAAGGATGGCAGAGGCAGATAGAAAGAGGGAAACAAACCAGGTGAGTGTCGGGTCCTGAATGGAAGGCTAGAACACTGGGAAATCCATGGGCTGTCTGGAAAGGAACAGTTGCAAAGGACTGGGCAAGCAGAAGCTGCATTCCTGTGTGTCTTAGAGAGATGAAAGGGAGAAACTGGAGCAGCAGTGAGTGAAACAGCTTTTAGAAGCAATATTATCTCAAAGGGAAGGATCAAAAGTTGGGAGCGAGGTGGAGATGTAAGAGGAGTCAAGAGCGGCTTTGAGATGGGGAAAAAGCACACAGGTAATGTCAGTGCCAAAGGAGAGCCCTACGGGATGGGAGGGGCAAAAGGGACCTAGTGGGAGGGACAGGAAAGCACCGGACCATGAAAGAAGCAGGGCAGAGAATTACCCCGGGGGGTTTCCTAATATGCACTAGAGTAGCTCGTCCTTCTAAGGGACAGTTGTGGACAGTCGCAAGAGAAGGGCTGTGACTGAGTTCTCATGTGGGTAGGAGGCTGGAGGTTGAATGGCAGACCTCTTCGGACCTCATCTGTTAAACCTGTCAATTGTAGAAGCAAGACAACTCTGAGGATGAGCTGTGCAGGCAAGTGAAAACAAAGAGGCGCTGTGGGGAGTCATTCTAGAGAAAGTAGCATAAAGTCCCCTGGAGATGAGACCGTGAACTTGAACTGATGGCTTTGTCATGGTATAGAGTCAGGGGAGAGATGTCCTTCTACACTTGCCTGGGACCAGGGGGAGTACTTCCTGTCTTCCCTAGTCTAGTTAGGACAGATGTCCCTTAACTGTATATGGTGGGATAGATTCTGACACCTGCCCTGAGAGGAGGAAAGGGAAGAAGTTCTATAGTGAGGTGGGAACCAGGAGAGCATTCATTTGGAAGAGTTTGGAGACCTGGAGTGAGTCATCAGCTGTGAACATCTTCTGCTTTGCTTCCCTTATTGTAGTGTTTTCTTTGACGTTGCTCCTGCATCTCTACCTGTTTTCATGTATGACTGATGTTCTTGTGGAATGGAGGCCCTGGGCCTCTTTCTTATCTCTTCCTTCCCATGTCTTTTCAGGTTTGTGGTCCACCAGCCTCCAGGATGTGGGTGTAAATGGACAGTGTGGTGACATCCTCACCAGCAAAAGGTTCATGCTGGACATGCTGTATGCCCATAACAGAAAGTCCACAGATGACGAGGAGAAGGGTGATGGCGAACCTGGGAAGCCTGCGCAGGAGGTGGAGGCAGTGGCCAGTCTTGCCACCAGGATATCCACTCTGCAGGCCAGCTCTCAAGCCCCAGAGGAGAGCATCAAGAGAGTGGACATTGGCTGTTTGGACAACCGGGGCAGTGTAAAGGCATTTGCTGAGAAATTCAATAGTGGGGACCTGGGGAGAGGTTCCATCTCTCCTGATGCAGAGTCTCATGACAAGGTCCCAGACACAACACCTGCACAGCTGAAGACTGAGTCTGATTACATCTGGGACCAACTCATGGCCAATCCAAGGGAGCTCAGAATCCAAGACATGGATTTTACTGACTTAGGGGAGGAGGATGATATTGATGTTCTGGATGTGGATCTTGGCCACCGGGAAGCCCCAGGGCCACCTCCTCCACCCCCTCCCACCTTTCTGGGTTTGCCACCCCCCACCCCCTCCACCCCTGTTGGACACTGTGCCTCCCCCCCCAGTCCCCGGTAATTTATTGGCTTCTCCTGTGTTCAGCACTCCTCAGGGCTTAGGGTGGTCCCAGGTACCCAGGGGTCAGCCAGCATTCACCAAGAAAAAGAAGACTATCCGGCTATTCTGGAATGAAGTCCGGCCCTTTGAGTGGCCAAGTAAGAACAATCGCCGATGCAGGGAATTCCTGTGGTCGAAACTGGAACCCATCAAGGTGGACACTTCCAGACTAGAGCACCTGTTTGAGTCCAAGTCTAAGGAGCTGTCTGTCACCAAGGTAGGCTGGCCCTGGCGTGTTCTTGATTAGCAGAGGAAAAGAGCTGGAGAGGTTGGTTCTTGATGAAATATCTTATTTTGTGTTACTTTAGCTATTCGATAAGCAGTCCATTGGGATAAAAAGTCTAACTTTTCGGATAATATTCCTTGGATCCATGCTACATCAAAATGCACAGTAGCACACCAGATAACCCATTAAAAAAGCAAAAAAAAAAAAAAGGCTAATTATGGGTGGCCCTATAGCCCAGGACAATGTCAGTGCTCTCCAGAGGAACTGAACATGCTCATTTACCAGGTGCACTGAGTGTACTCATATAATATTAACTCAAGTTAGGGACCATAGAGGCACTTTGAACTTATCTGTATTCACCCAGTGCTTTTCTAGAGGCAATAGTTCAGTCTCTTTGGATAATTCTCTAAGCTGACATACTGAAACTATCTAGATATTCATATTTGACATATTTGTATCCCTAGAAAAAATACATATGCATCTAGGTTTCTTATTTTTCATGAGTGCATGAGAACCTGTAGGCATCACTATTGAAGCATTGTTAACACAGGTGTTATATACAATTATAGATGGGAAACATTATAAAATAATTGGACAAAATTCCATGGTCATCAAATTCTGATATAAAAATTGCATAACAGATTGTATTTTCCATGGGTAAGTGCTTTAATAATGCCTCCATTTTGTATCTCAACCCACAAAATATGTGAGCCAGGGCATAGTGAACTTTTAAAACAGGCTAGAAGCTGTCTTCTCTTAGGAATTTGGGGTATGAGAAAGTGCTTTGTAAAGTCTGATGTAGACAGGTGTAGCATGATGTCATCTAAAAAGCTCATGCCTGAGAACCATGCAACTGAGTCACCGGAACAATTGCAAAAACATTTTGAATGTTTTAAGTAAATTTTTGATTTTACATTGAGTCTGATTCATAGCGATTCTGGACTACAGGTTGTACACTTCCAGTGGAAAAGATATCCAAGGGATTATCACTATGAGTCAATTCTATTCCCAGGTCAATTCATTCACTCATCATCATTTGAGATGAGTATAATGTTGCCTGAGTTGGGCTCCCAGACTTAAGAGTCAGGTACCAATTCTGAAGACAAAGCAATGTTACAACCTCAGGTCATGTGTGTGTTTCTAAGGAGGAGATGCCATGGCTGTTGAGAGATGCTGAGGGGCCAGTGCGGGGACAGTCGTTGGTCAGTCTTCTTTTAAGTCCATGTGGAGATTCTTAAACTTCTTGCCACCCTTTGCCAACTGGTGTTTACCCCAGTGTCTCTTTCTGCCCAGGCTTGGAGAGCATGTGACTCTCAATTATTTCTTGCCTCAGAAACCTCCTTCAGTCAGAATTAAAGCTTCTTTAAAATTGAAATTACTATGCTTTGATGTAGACTATCCTGTCTCATCATCCTGTTCTTTTGTTATAAGTGGGTCCAGACCTTGTCCTTTCTAGAACATATTGAACACCTACTCTCAGTGTACCCATGTCCTGAGTTTTTCAGGCTGCTGTCACATAGCACCTGGGTGCCCATGTGTCCTCTTCCACTTTGTACAGTCAACCTGGCGCTGTGGAGAAGACCAGCTGAGAATTAGCTAGCAGCTGGCAGTTGCCAAGTATTTCTCATGGCCCACCTCACGCACTACGCTGGACCCACTGACCCCATTGGCCCCTCCTCCTCCATGTACCAGCTGTGCTGCTGGCTTTATGCTGTTGCCCAGACTCTGGAGGTTGTTGCGGGGAGGCTGCCTGGCCTCAGAACTGAATGAAAAGGGCCAGCAGGTTGGTGGTGCAGGCATGTTTCATTTCCCTTATGGTAAGATTTTCCATGAGAAGACTTCAAATGAGTGTTGCTTCACCCATCTCCCTCCTTCTTCTCGGTTTCACTGTGGCTGGCCTGGTTGGGGAAGAGATATTGGCTTGTGTCTTTTCACTAACCCTGAGTTCGATTCTTACCTGTAGTAGGGATCACCTCTCAAAATACTGCAAGGCCTTGCTAATAGCTAAACATGTGCCTAGGTTTGGTAAAGAGGGACCTAGGAAAATAGTCATCTGCATTGGTGGGTTCAGCATCTTAAAACTACATCAACTGCAGATGGAATCCATTTTTTAAAAATGTGTAACTTTGCTGAACATTTACAGAATGTTTCCTTGTCTTTATTCCTAAAAATAATACAACAGCTAGTACATGGCATTTGCATTATGCTAGGTGATATTAATAATCCGGAGATGATTTAGAGCACTCTAGAGGGTTACAAGGGTTATATACAAAATATGTAAGAATTCATTTTATGTGAGGCATTTGAGAATTATTGTACTCTCTGGTGGTCCTATAACTAATCCCTTAGGGACACTGAAGGACAACTAAACTGAAATAGTTATTAAATTGCTTCCAGAATGTTCTTCAATGAGACTCAGGAGCATATACCTTTGGGTGTTTGTTTGTTTGTTGTTTTGGGTTGGTTTGCTTGGTTATCTTTAAAAGAAAAAAAGGAAAAAAAGAAATCTGAGCAGGAGCTAATTTGCAAAATGTTACAAGAGATGAGAATGCAAATTAATGCTAAAGCATCGCGTTGGAGAGGTGGATCCTTTTTGTATATGTTACTAATTCTGATATAACCAAATTCCAAGTCTGGTTTTGATCACTGACTGTGATTTTCATATAACACAGCTGTAAACAGCCACTTCCGAACTCTGGCTCACGAGAAGTTTTTCATTAAACACAATAGTCTACAACAAAAATGAAATCGACTTCACAAGACAGCACGAAACAAAGGGAGCTGGTTTTAGTTTCTATTGGAAAACTAACACCAGACCAAAGCAATAGGGCATGGCTGTGATTATCCAGTCACCCCCACCCCAGATTCACGCGTGAGAGCCGGTGCTGGGGGGGAACCACTTAATGAACACGAGAAGAACAAAAGATGCCTTTCCTTCCTGGTTTCTTTTCAAAAATAGTTTGTGGAACAGAACCGACTTTTCTGACTTGGCAGCAGATGTGTAGATGTAGCTTTTCACAGTCTGCTGCCCGTTGTATTGTGTGGTGACACAAACCCTGGGTTGAGCCTTACTGCGTTGTATTTATGCTGCTGCTTTGAGACGTGGTGATGTATGTTCAAGTGATTCCAGAGAACTATGTCAGGGCAGAGAGTCCCCAAAGCATCTGGACTTGACATGAGGAGCCCTGTGAAATGGCCTTCCCAATTCTTATGCCCAATCAGGGCCTGGAAGACCCCAGATACTCTCAAAGGACACCTTCTTCATACCCCAGTTAACTACCAGACCATCACAAGTGTGGAGAAAGCAGGGGAGAGGCAAGGAGAGACCCTGGGTTTGCCTTTGAGGACACGATGGTTCCTTGGATTTATTTGGGGAAGGGTCTCCAGATGGATCTGGAGAGATTTGCTTAGCTCTGTAGAGTAAGTACTCTTCCATCACTGTGACAGGACACCGTGATCAAAACAAGTTATAGAAGAGAGAGTTTATTTGGGTTTACAGTTCCAGAGGATCAGAGTCCATTGTGGTAGAGCAAAGATACAGGAGCAGGAACAGGAAGCTGAGGGTTCACATCTCAAACTGCAAACAAAAAACAGAGAGCCAACTGGGAATGGCTAGCCCCCAACTATGAGCCTCCTCCAGCAAGGCCTCACCTCCTGAACGTATCCAAACAGTACCACTGTGGGCCAAGTATTCAAATGCCTGTCATTCTTATTGAAACTGCTACATTCTGTTTACCCTGAAGTTTCCTAGTACGTCAGAAACTACTGTCAGAGGCTTTTTAATAAATATGGAGATGGAGATTTAATTGGCCTTAGCCTGGGTGATTTTGCTTGTTTTGTTAGCGTGCCCTCCCCTCCCCCCACCCCCACACTATGTAGCCCTGGCAGGCCTGGAATTTACTGTATAGACCAGGCTGGCTTCAACTTTGTAGTTGATATTCCTGCTTATGTGGGGATTACAGATCTTCACACCTGGCAGGCCTAGCCTGGGTGATTTTTAAAGACCTCAGAGAGTATGGAGTAGATCCAAAGTTGTAAGTCCCTGCTTTTAAGTGCCAAGTGAACATGGCCTCCTGACCACCACCTTCCACAGCAATGCCCAGCTCTGACTTCTTCCCCAGAGAAGAGAGAAAAGTCTCCATGCCTCACATTCAGAATGCAAGGAAGTTTTGTTCGTAATGTCAACATCACAAATCCCAAATTCTACCTAGAGATTAGCAATACAACTTTGTATTCCTGTGGTGCCTCCACAGTTAGTAGCTGAGTGTAAGCCCTCTGCTTTCAGTGCCAAGAAAACACAGGCTGTCCAGTTGTTTAACCATTGGCCTTAGCTATCAGAGGCTCCAAAGTACAGAAAAATAACACTTTCCCCTTGATAATAAGGCAAGCCTGTTCTGTAATGTTAAGAATTCTTTCCTTTCATCCCCTGCCACCATTTTGTTTAAAGGCAAAGTCTTATAATCCCTAACTGGCCTCAAACTCAAAACAACTGCCCTGCCTCAGCCTCCTGAGTACTGGGGTTAAAGGCATGCACCACCACGCCAACTGAAAATTTTATTCTTAACTAAAGAGTTTGTTTTTTTTTTTTTTTTTTTTTTTTTTTTTTTTTTTTTTTGCCTGAATGTAGACTTAGGTTTTGTTTGTTTGTTTTTATGTTTTTGCTGGAAAGATTTGCTACGTATTTCTTTATGACTCTTGCAGAAGGCCTAGGAAAATTCTAGCATTCTCCTCCTTGTGACATCTGTATCATTGCAACTTGTAACCTTGTAACTGTCACTTTCTCCGGGGAGAGTTTTGAAAATATCTCCTGGTATCGTTCTTGGCGGGTGAGCAGGGAGTCGGGAGGCATGATTTACCATTTCCAGAACGGCCGCACCGAACCAGACCCAGGCCCCAGGGTCTCCGGCACTGCTCAAGCGCCTTGTGCAGAGGCCGGTTGCCTTTCATGGAAGCGCTCTCAGCCGCAGCGGCGTTCTTCAAGACTCAGGGAG